GGCCTTCTGGCGAACGGACAGGATTCCGGAGGGTATATGCGAATGAAAGAGGGCGAGGCATACGTCGGCTGGCTCGGGTGTCTGCCAGTCAGTTCCGAGAGCTAATCACGGCCACAAAGGGTTTCTGTAATAACGTAATGGGAAAGATTAAAGGGTGTCGTGCACCCTGCGGCGACTCTTGCTCGTTTACTTTTCTCCTCGGATATGCTACCGCGACTGCAAGAAATAGAGCTGTCCAAACAGTTTGAAAAGAAGCACTCCGAAATTCTAATCAGCAATTCAAATAATCTAAAATCGATTATCAATTACTGTAATGCTTCCCCTGTTCAATCAATTTTTTTTCTTTTAATAAACATTTGCTACTACGAAGAAGATAAAAAATGTGATTCTTTATAGCGAAAGGAAGATGAACGTAATGAAGAAATAGAAAGTAGACAAACAGAAGGGAAAGTAGACAAGAACAGATAGGAGAGCTACTTTTAGTACGTAATGGACTCTGTTGTATTTTTGGATGAATATCCGAATAGCTTGTGTTCGCGGCAGTATGTCCGCGAAGCTGGTTAATTGGATAATCAAGTGAGCCACTTTGAGACCGTGAGTTACACTTTCCCCGATGCAATTCGAGCACCGCACTAGCCTCTATTTTTGGTTTGATTAAAGAGCCACCATTTACGCGCCCGATCGTTGCTGATTAACGCTAGATTTATTGCTCGTTCCCGTGAGATTTCAGTGCCACTGAAATCATTTTAATTAACAAGCGGCATCAAATTCTCTGTACTACAATTTCCGTGATATTTTATTGTCCGGATAATAAAACAGTTCTTGGTAGTTTTTATCCATCCTCTGAATGCTTAATAGAGGAGAGCTTGTTATTAGTCATCAAATTGATGGCATCTTTCACCTGGACGCCTCGCTACTTTCTTTTTCTCCATCGATAAGGCTACTCGTCAATCGCTCTCCCATTTCTTTCGGCCGGTCGATGGTAGATAAGCCGAAAGAAATATCTCAATGGACATACTCCTGTCGAACTGACAGGTTACACGGGTTAACGATGAGTGACGCGGCACTTGCGAGCCGTTCGGACAATATATATGTATATGCGTATGCACATAGTTTGATCCTTATCGGTTTTCGTACAGTGACAGGTACTCTCTTGTTTTAGTCACGACGAATTATCTTCATTCCCTCGTGTAATAGAAGCACTTACTGTGATGCAGATAGCGCCGTTAACTGTTCAGATAAAGATTTTATGATAACATTTAAATCCTGATGCACAAACTTTCCTTTGCTCTTTGCTTTCTAACGTAATAGACAAGTAGTTGTGTTATACAGTTAGAGATAACAGGCTTAAGTTCTGTGTCGTGCGTGTGATTAAAGTGTTCCATTATCACAATTGCGTTTTAAATATAATTAAGGATTCTTAAGTAAATTGCAGACTTTTATGGACTTTTAAGAAAGATAAGAGCATTCAAAATGCAAGAATGTAGAAGATATCAGAAGTAAATGCATGATACGATATTTAATGAGTTAAATATAAAGCATATATTAATTTTAATTGTATAAAAAGAAGCAAATATTCCACATTAGCAGATAGGATGA